TATATAGTGTAAATTATATATATATATATATATATATATATATATATATATATATAATTTTTATTTTTTGCATTTACGATTATTAGTTGCTACATCATAATGTAGCTATTGTAGTATTAATGATTGTGAACTGATCAACTATATGTTAATAGTTCTGTAAACGGAGTTTGCTCTACTGTATATGCTGTACACACATTGATGTGGAATCTTGTACAATACTGGGTTTATTTATGTGGGATGGGGGCTTTCAAGGTTATCCTTTTAAAAGGATAATCAAAAACCATGAATATTTTTGGCTTATGAGAACATGACATTATTTATACATAAAGTTTATTGTGTGAGTAAAGCAGCTTTGTTTTACATTACTGTTCTGGGCTACATCAAAGAGATTAGTTATAACATGTATAGCAGGTGAAGAGATTAAACTATTCTTCTTTCTCCCTATAAGGCTGCAGTGCCTCCAAAATATTATCACAGCTGCTCTGTGAACTTTTGAAGTCTGTTTTGGGATAGAGATGAACTATTAATATAACCGCATATTATTTTTTCAATATTATGTTTTCCATTCAGTGATGCACAGGGAGTCAATACTACCTTCAAGCTTACACAAAGTTTATCAACATTATTTCACCATTACTGTTTTCACAATTTCAATAATTCTCAGTTTCAGACCATCCCACATTCCCTCACTTATAAATAAATAGATGGATGTACTGAGTGATATGAGATAAACTAATATAACAAGAGTAATGTATGGACCTTAACTATTATTTCAAAGTGAATCGTCACACTAGTCTCTCACACTACTTTGCTAAGATCTTGATCATCTTTTCTTGAGTCTCTCACAGTTCATTGTTGTAGTGGGTTTCTTAGCCAAAGCTATTGGCTGATAGCACTTGGCTGATGTTTCATCANAGTGATTTCAGCTCANAGGAATTGCTTGAGCAGTGAGCCCCATTTATACATACATATTTTCCAGAAAATTACAGGTACATTTCCACAAAAAGACAATGTGTAAACAGGTATGTTTTAAAAGTACTGGCAAATGTTCCTGGAGTGTTCCAGACTGAGAAGTTAAAAGTAATGGCACGTTTTCTGAATTCTGTGAACTCTGTGTGAAAACAAGGAAAATTGCACTGACTAGAAGCGTCTATTCTTGGTCAATCAGAACATTCTGATTCTGATGGGGCATTTACACTGTTTATGAAAAATAAAAGCTTTTCAGTGTTTTGTCCAGACACATTTAGTTGCTGCTTGCTAATCTGACAACATTTTTATGTTCCTCCTTAGTGCCGGCTGTGAAAAAATATTGCTTAAACTTGTGATAAACTGCTGTCAGTTACCTGAAACTGCTGCATTCAAATGTGTATAATAGAAGGGGAGTGCGACTTCAAACTTCAATCGGTGAGTGAGATTTTAAAAGAATATACCCGTATTCTTTAATTTCGATAAGTTTCTCATAAGCACACATTCATATGTACATCTTGACATGTGAAAGTGTTCACATGTCTTCCGCATCTCTTTATCAGAGTTGCTCATAATACTTTTGCAATACTTTGCCCGTGTCCTTCTTTTAGACCTCTGTCAAATGTGTAAAATTTTTTTGTTTTTTTTAGCTTCAGTTTTGCTTATCTTTCCTTCAAATGCTAGCTGCAAGATTTTCTTCTTATAGTTCTGCAGTATTTTGCCTTGTATCTGAGCAACCCGATCTCATAACTTTGCGTACAAATAACACGACTTTCCACCTTCCCTTTGCGTGCAATGCATACGCCAAAATCCGTTTTTGCGTGCATATGATACGCCAGTCCTTCCCATTCATTTCTTTGGAGAACAGATGCGTCCATATGCCACGCACCAACTTTAACGGCGATGACGTCATCAACGAGACTCGGTTCAACGCCAGTTCACCTGATGAGCATCGACATTGAATCAAGTAAGTAAGGGCTTTTCCCCTCTTTTTGTGATGAGATCACGGCGTTAACTGCATTTTAATAAATTTTGTGTTTCTTCATCACGTTACATGAGTCGTGTGTTAGAAATTGTGCGTTCAAAGTTGTTATTCAAGTGTAACATCTGGGCGTTCAGTTAGCACAGCTGGTAACTTAGCCCAGCTATAACATTACTGCTGCCATTACTGGAGTAATTATTAATTAATTAATCAGTTTTTATCATGTTGTGACATGATTGGACGTTTTTAAACATCGGGGATGACGGCACTGCAGATCTAATTCAAACATGTAACGTTAACCTTAATTATATTTTGGTGAAAAGATTTGTTCAGTTTGCTGAACGTGATTCAAAGATTCGAGTCAGTAAAATGAGTCTTAGCAATCTTTTTAGCTAAAGTGGTAACGTCTAGCATTAAAGTGGACTAACAAGTGCGAATGGGCCCCTAAACCGGTTTATTTTCAACTTGTGGTCATCTATACTATTATTAGTCATAGCTGACGCCAGATCGGTATTACAGAGCATACGGATTACATTTACAAAAAATAAAACACGTTAGCAGGCATCACTAGTTGCTTGCAGATTGTACAGACCGTGAAAATATTTAGAGAAAAGGCATAACACGTAATATCTAAATTAAATTTAAATCATTAATTGTTTTAAAATAAATGTCTAAAACTTAAAAAACACTCAAGTTAACTAGATTAATTCCATTAAAACAATACAATAAATATGTTTAAATTAAAATAAATGTATATAATAAAATAATTGAAATGCAATTTATTTAATAAGGTAAAATGAATAAATAAGATACAAATAAATTGTATAATATAACAGCAGGTCACACACACGCACACACACATATATATGTGTATATATATATATATATATATATATATATATATATATATATATATATATATATATATATATATATATATATATATATATATATATATATATATATATAAAAGCAAGTAAATGAGTTTCAAATTTATATAAAAAAATTAATAAATACAGTGTTACAATTAGCAGGGTGGAAAAATGTGTAACAAAATTGATATTTTACAATTAGTTTTTTTAAATACATTATCGCTAATTATTTATTTATTAGTCTGTGGTGTTTAAAAAAAACATTAAACTGATCAATAAGCTTATATAGTGCATTTTATCTAAACAAAAATTAAGCACGATTTAGACTAAAGATGTTTTCCCCAGCATAAAAAAAAACATTTGCTATATTTTAAATGAGGCATTTACCAATACAGCTACAAAAAAACTTTACAAAACCTTGTTAAAATAAATGAATAAAAAATTACAAATTTTAAGTCACATATTTGATGTGGTCCAAGCTTTGCTTTGAATTGTGATAATCAACTCAAGTTGGAGTTGCAGTCAGAAATCAGATTGAACTGATATTTTATTTTTTGTTTTAGTACAATGTTAAGTGGAAACAAACATAAATTAGAAGCTGTTCTACTTCTCGCTGATGCATTTGTTGAGGAGATACAGGCAAGTTTTTTTTTTTTTTTTTTTTTGTTATACACAAATATTTAAGCAATTAACTCCAGTTAGTTAATGCCTAGTTTTCTCCCATCTGTTTAATTACATGCTAAGTCAAAAAAAAAAGAGTCAGATCAACCTGAAGTCCCTGGACAAAACAAAGTAACCTGGTGGAAGAGGGACTGCGATGGGCAACGGGTGTCCACCTCGAAACGTCAGAAAAAAAGATCATCATCTGGTTGGTATCTATTTTATAAAGTTAATGACAAACTCTTTTAATAGTGAATAATGATGTGTGAATGAACTAGGAAGGAGTTTAATAGTGCTCTTGCTACTAAGTAGACTTAATGCAAAAATAGGTAATGTCAATTACAGTGTGATGACATGTATGTATAGGTTTAATATTTTCCATGTTGCAAGATTTCCAAAAGTTACATTGTTTATTTATTTATTTATTTGTGTATTTGCCAAGGAGTTTCAATGAATTGTTGTAATGTGGCTTTTTTTATTTTATTTTTTTACTTCTAAACAGTTTGTTCTCCATGTGCTAGTTCCTCCCCACCATGTATTACCCATCAATATCCAGGTAAGAAGAATTTTATTTATTTATTTTAACTCAAAACCTATGCTTCATCTGAAAACAGGGACATAGGCATAAAGAAATCATCAAGACACTGAGGAAATTGTCTGTTTGCTGTTTAGTAACTAGCCAGCTAACAATGGTTTTTCCTAAAACCTTTTCTACAGTCCCCTAATACGCCTCAAGCATTAATGTTACCACCATTTGTTGGTGTTAACCCGACAGTAGAAAAACTTACGAAAACATTGTGTCTATTTATTTACTTGTGTAAATGTGTGTACAATTTTTTTTTAGCTTTTAAATTAATTTCAGTAATATTATTGACAAATATGAAAATGTTAATTTAATTTAATTGCAATACAATTTGTAAAGTAATTTTAGTAGATAGATTATATGAGAGACTTGCTTTGTTTACCAAATAAGTGGATCTAATTGGATTTGCATTGTAAACATTAAATAAAAGTTAAAAAGGTATAATTTTTTTATTTATTTCATATATTAAGTTTTTAATTATGATACTCCCAGAATCATTCCACATAAATCTTTCCAACTATCCTTTCACCCTCAGCCTTCTGTTCCATCACCGGATTATCACTTTACTAAAACCAATGGAAATCCCAATTAGTTAGATGTAGGTGAATTACAGTGTTGAATTTATTTTATTATTTTTTCATTTCTTTCCTTCTCTCTTTGAAGATTTTAACATGCAGAGGCTAGAGAACCTTCTTCAGGAATCTGAGACCATCACTCTTGAAGATCCTCCTGAAGACACCATCCTGCAGTCTCCATTGTCCATTTGGGGACAAAGAAAAAAAGAGGTCCAGCAGTGTTGGCAAGAGGCGAGGCCACAAAACCTTGCCAACTTGTTGTCGGCTGAAAGGATTCCCACGATGACATGTAGTCACTGTCATGTGAGAGAAGCAATTATCCGTTGTAGGGAATGTTTGCCATCAGAGTGGTTTTGTGAATGTTGTGACACATTAATACACAAACACCACATTTTGCACAGTAGGCAAACCACAATCAGTGGCTTTTTTAAATACATCCCTCCAACGGAATTTGTCAAACTCCATGACAGTAACTACATCATCTGTGAACAAGGTTTGTGATGATTTGCATCCCCCCAACAGACATCATCTTAAATTATGCATTGTACTTTTATTGCATTGTACAATTATTACATGTTAATCATTACAACTTAATTGTTCTTTGCTTTCACAGATTGTTTGCTACCAACAGCCTTGCCTCAGATAATTTGTTCCTGTAATAATGCTGATGTTGCTGTATCTGTTGGAAGATCTATCATTCTGGTTTGCATAAATGGTAGGATTGTTTAAAAAATATTATTTATCTAACACATTACTTCCATGTAATTTATTTGTCTTTCATGTGCTCCCAGGCCGTTATAACCTTCACACACCATTGCTGACATGCAAACATTGCAATGAGCAATGGACTCCAGGGGTCATTGACTTCGAAAGGAGTGGTTATTGGCCTGCTACCATGCAAGCCCAGACCCTATTCCACCAAGATCTATTTAATTCGTTTGAGGCTATGAAGACAGCAGCTCCAGGAATGTCAGTGAAAGCATTCACAGCACTGCTAGATCAGAGAACAAAGCAGTTTGGAAGAGTGAGTAAAAATTGGAATCTGAAAGATCATTATGTTAATTAGTGTGATTCTGATATAACCTGATATGAAATTCAAGGTTCACAACTGGCTATAGTATTTAAGGCTACTGAAATTAAACAAAATGAAGGTCAAATAAGACAACATGGTAATATGCAGTTTTCTTGGATTTGTGAGTGCACTAACAGATTTGTGATTTTGGATGTTATTGTCATTGTATACTGCAACTTGTGTATTTTAGACTGGCAAAGTGAATACGGATGCTTTTCAGAGAAGCTTTTTGCAATATGTGTACTGCAACTCTGAACAGAACCAACTACTGGGAAAGGAGCCATTTCTCTGTCCAGCCTGTAGCCCTGAAATGGTGGCTGTTTCAGTGGATGGTAACCGAAAACTCTACAGGTTCCAAAAAACAAACCAGTGAGTGTTGTATGCACATTAAAAACAGACTATGCAGTACATGTATGTACTTGCTACTAACATTATCATTGTGATATAGCTTTAATGTATCTAAAATAAAGCTGTTGATACTGTAGCTGCTGAATATAAATTTAAAAATTAAATTATTTATAGGTTACACGTCTACTAATAATTTATTTTCTTATAGGAGTCAAGAGCCAGGGTTTTTTGAAGGAGTTTTTTTAGCCCAAGACTCCATGGTGTCTAATTTTGTTGAGGAAGTCCGTGGTGCAGTCAAGAGTGTAAGTTTTTTCAATCCGGCTGATAAACAGATATCTTTGCCTTATTTTATAAATAATTAGATGTAAAGTAGGAAATACTGTAGCCTTCTTACTTGGGTGAGGGAGCCTTTATTAAGGTGTTATGAGTAATTCAGAATAACCTGTGTTATAAATATCGGGCTTGACTATATATTCAGACTCAATATACATACATACATAAATATATATATATATATATATATATATATATAGCGAGAGAGAGATTAGGCTTATGACATTATGATATACTCTAATATTAAAAAGGGTTACTTTAACAGGTATAATAACCAAAAAATACTTGGTGTATTGCTTTATTGTCAGTACATGTTTAGTTTAAAAAAAAATTCAAACAAATAAAGATTTTAAAAGGATTTTACAGTACAATATATAATACTTTACAATTAAGTCTCATTAGTAATTTTGAAAATTGAGGAAAACAGATTTATTAGTACTATGTTAATATTAGTCTAAGAAACTGAATTCTATCAGTTATTAACTTAATATAAAAACATGATTATGACTTTTGAGTTATGTTTTTGAGTTATCTAAAGTAATGTATTATTAGTAAGTAACTAAGAAATTAACATCACCTAAGATAACATTGACACTAAATTAACTAATGTTAAATGAAGCCTTACTTTACAAAGTTATTGAACAAAAGGACTTTATATAGTCACAATGTTCATTTTGTTTGAAAATAAATTAAGTCTTCAAGCTAATAATGCTGTGAATGTCACCTCCAATGCAACAATCAGTATAATTTTAAACAGCACTATAACAATTTAATTAATAATAATTATGCACAGTATTTTGAAGTGCCCATGATATCAATATCCCATCAATATTATTCATTATCAATATATATTGAATAATTGATTATATAATAAATGACAAAATGTTGACATTGTTTGTATGTTTGACCAGCCTCGTAATTTAATATAGTTAATGTCAATTTCATTATTGTCATTAATGTCAAAAATGAAAATGTGAAACTATTTACTTTGTTAGACACCAGGAAAAGCAATGTGTGGGGAATCCCACTGGACAGCAGCAAGAGAGACATCAAAGCAAGCCAACAAGTTGGATGAAGAAGGTGTGGAAATTGCTGTGTGCAGGCATGGATTCCTCCTAAAAGGTTGGGCTTGGGATTGGTCTTAACAAATAACAAATATTAGCAATTACAAATGTTTGTGGATGATTAATCTAATGATTTTAAGCCTGCTCTTCACTCTGCAACATGCTCTCTACTTTTTTCTATTTTTCAAAAGGTCTGAACATGTATAGAGGAGAAATTTTTGCATATCCGATGTATCTCCAAAAAGAGTTCAAAGATGCAAAATTTTTGGCCATGGATGTGACCTGCCGTTATGTGCCATACCTGGAGAAAGTGTCAGAGGCCCTGAGTCATCTTCAACCTCTTCAGAAAATGAGACATTGCTTGTCTGTAATGCATGCCAAAGCCCACAATACAAAATGCGAGGTGATGCTTTTAACTAGTTGATTTTTGCATTCAAGAGCAAAATATAGCCAATAACACAATGTAACCCAATGAATAATGATGTGACTCAAACTACAACACGGGAGTGTGCTTTGAGCATCCTCGAAAGCTGCCAACACCCTGTTGTCCACACTGTTTAACATGTATACTGCTTCCTGTAGATTCTGTGGAATGCAAGGAACCAGGAAGGTGCTGGAACCACACTTGGGGAAGAAGTGGAGCAAGTAAATAGTTTTCTATCCAGATGTGCCCTGACCACAAAATATATGACCAAGTCAGGTTTGTAAGTCCCCTGCTAGCCTGTAAATAAACAACTGGATATTTTACAATTTATTGTAGATTATTGATTTTCTGTTGTTCCCTACAGTAAGAACTGATATGCTTACGGTCCATGCAATTGGGTGGAATCAGCGTAAAGAGAATGGACTGCACATTGCCTTGTCTTCTAGATTTAAAAAGGTATATGTTCATGTTTTGTAAAACAATAAACTATTTAAAATATAAAAATTTTAACTTAAAGCTCACACAAAATGCATCACACTGTTACTGTACCCCATGTAGATAATGTAGGGCACCACACCTCAGCTATATATATTTAATTAAATACGTTATTTTACTTAATCATGCATTTTGGTTCTTTAAAATATTATTTTAGTAAATTAAATTTTGTTTTGCTTTTTTGAAGACAGTGCAAAAGACCTTGACTGCAACAGAGAATCTGAAAATGATGCAGAATCAATTCCATTGTAGTGATGACACAGTAAAAAAGTGGGTTATGGATGTCAAGCAGTGGGCAAGCAGTGGTAAGTGAAATGTTTTATAAACAAACACTGTTGGATTATTCTATGTGTTATCTAACTAGCTGTAGCTTATTGTCAATTTATGGTGTGTGGATGGAAACTGTGTACAAGTTCATTTTGCATTTTGACTTACTTAAACAGGGATTACTTTTATTTTTTTAAAAGAGTTACAACAGAAAAATCAGACCAAAACTATATAATTTGAGACCAATAAATGTGCACATTAGACCCAAAATTCAGGGCTCTATTTTTTTTTCTCCATATCTTCAAAAGGCAATTTTTGGTTCACATTCTTGATGCAATTATCTCAGATGTTTTATACAGATCTGCTTTCTTTTCAACATGCAGCTGCGGACCTTAAAAAAATTCTCTGTTTCTCTATCTGCAAGAGCACAATGTTTTACATATGTCAGTTCATAGGACAATTTACTTCATCACTAAAAGTTTGGCCTATCGGTGCAGCTACAGTAAGGCTTATGGACCAATGAATTCTTTATAAAGAAATCCTCCAGAAAAATTTAAATAATTAATTGTCCTGATGTTTGTCTGTTGCTGTGGCACTGTGCAATAAACAGAACTTTTCTTTTTTTTTTTATTGCAAGAAATTTTACATCACAAAACAGGGAACAAATCAACATCGCAAGACATGTAAACCATTACAATAAAAAATAAAAATGTAAATCGTCTAAATAAAAAATAAATAAATAAACATAAATAACAACTACAACAAGGAGCAACACACCAAAGGGAAAAAAGACATTATAATAATAAATATTTTGAAAATGAAGTACAAAGAGCTTTAAGTTAATTTATTTTGTTTCTGGAGTATTTGAATAAACAGAACTTAAGTGTTTTTTAACCTTTACTTTAGGAAATGCTACAGCCAGTCCTGTTGGTGCTCATGGCTTGCAGTTGTCCATCGAAACGCTCTTTGTGAGCATTTGTCAGAAAAAGCATTATCTTTATAGGCAGAATGGTATGTATTAGTAAATGATGCAGATTTATGTTACACTGGTTCTTCTCATTACATTTCATGGCAACACTTTTGTAATATCATTGCTTTTTTCTCATATTACAGATCGGAACAAAAGGCGTCAGAAGATTACTCAAAAGATTGCCCAAGAAAAGAAACGCTTGGTCGCAGAGATCCAGAGATACAACCAGCAACCTAACGCTGACCCTGTGGACACAAACTTAGTTGTACAGCAACTGTCCAACAAAGCAGAAGAGATCATGATCTGGCCTTGGCAGGAACAGAACACAGGTGTTGTATTAAGATGTACTATACACACACACACACACACACACACACACACACACATATATATATATATATATACACACACACACACATACATACACATACACATATATATATATATATACACATACATACACACACACACACACACATCTATATATATATATATATATATATATATATATATATATATATATGTGTGTATGTGTATGTATGTGTGTGTGTGTGTATATATATATATATATATGTGTGTGTGTGTGTGTGTGTGTGTGTGTGTGTG